ATGTACTGCCCTAGAGGAAGCAACGTCTTGCAAACTAAACCTGCAGGTTTCATGTTGTGTGTGTAGTGCAGGATTCCCGGATTAGGCTAAACACACACTTTTTTATTAACCTTGGGCATAGCACTTGCTGCAGTGTGTTTTGTGTGTGTGTGTGTGTGTTAGTGTGTGTAGGTGTGTGTGTGTTTTTAAAAAAGGCATCTCTGTTCAACCTCCAAGTAACACGTTTGTGTTTGTCTCAGTCTCAGTCTCAGATGGTTGCTTACTGAGACTGAACTGTAGAACAAATCAGTGTCTGTCTGTGTAATTGTGAGTGTGAGTGTGTATGCAAGCACATGAGCATTTGTGTATAGCCATTGGCACGGTGCTGTGTAGTTAGGACCAAGGCCAACTTTTTCTGGTGGAATTTCCTGTCTGAATTGAGCACCCCCACCTCTCCTACTCCTCTACTCTTCGCTTCCTTCTTTCCCTATGTGCTTCCCTCTCTTTTGCTCTCTCTCTCTCTCTCTCTCTCTCTCTCTCTCTCTCTCTCTCTCTCTCTCTCTCTCTTACTCACTGCCCCTTTCTGTCAAAGCACAACAAATGCTTTTTTTTTCTCCCTGAAAATTATTCCTGGCTCGGCCTGTCCTCTCAGGGTATTATTATTATCATTGAGTATTTCCTCGAAACTGTGAGCCCACTCCACTCTCCACTTCAGCATGGTCCTGAACTGGGGCTTCATTTGGACATAATGAGACGGTGCTTTTCTGTCTTCTTTCCCTGAGTCATGAGACTCCAAAGGGCTTTTGTTAACATTGAACACCTGGCATTGTCTTTAGTGAGAGATCAAAACGGAGCTTTAACATGCAAACTAAAAAGGAGGAGAAGATGTGGGGCTCCTCCTGCTGCTTGGCAGAACTTTTGGCATGTTTAGAGCATCATTATGGGGGATTGGGGGCAAAGATATGTTCAGTCTGATAAGAAACACCTTATGAGAGATTGGAGCAGATATGGTGCTTCAAAACAACCAGTGGTTAAAAGTCTCTGTGGACTGGATTGATTCATGATATAAGATTGCACAAACAAAAGCCCCTCACTGCATTGCAGCACATTTACTGAAAATGACAAAGATTCAATGGGCCTTAAGAAAAAATAAACCACTCATCCCAAGGTCTGTGTGCTGCATGCATGAATACTGTGAGGTACACTATGTGCTTATATGCATCAACAAATCTACACTATGACAGACTCAAAAGACATTACACTTATGATATCAAACTTATCTTAAATATCTGACTGTGCAGGCGTCATTATCAGAAAAAGCAATGCAATAAAATCAGGGAGCATCCGCTGTTTTCAGTGAATGAAACAGGGCTCAGGAACTGCCTTTGTGTGTAGATCTGTCATTCTGACCTAAAAACACTGCTCAGTGGTGTGTCGTTTTATAGTGTAAGACAAGATTTTGCAACCCCAAAAAGTTGTCATGGTGACCATTTTATTCTCCGTCTTAATGGCACGTTGCACTTGAAACAAGTTGTGCTAATGTCTGCCACACTGTTTTGGATATATGAAACCCAGGGTGGAGTGACCCCACATGCAAACACACCCAAGGGGGACAGATGGGCAGTTAATCAAGAAACTGAGGCATGTGAATCCCAGTCTTGTATCCCAGTCCTGTACCTGTCGGTAGTTGTCCCTACAGCCCAGAAAACAATGCAGCTGTCTGGGTGATGGAAGGTGCTGCTCAGCCCTTATCACCCCACATCCAGCAGCACCAACCTGGGAGGAGGCAGGGGGAGGATTCAGCCTCTGAGCTTCTGCTTGGCACTGTCTGTTTTAGAGAATTTGTGTGTTTAATTAATGGACGGACCATTATTTCTTTTTTCTTTTCTTTTTTTTTTTAAATGAAAGCACAATCTGTGGACAGTAAAACATTATAGAATATGAGTTTAATGATCAACTCGTCAAATTGGCTGATTTCCAGCACAACCTTGCTGTCTTTGCCGCAGTGTAGTCTCCTTGTCTTGTGCCCTCCCTACCCTCTCCACCAGAGATGTGCCAGGCAGCACAAGCAGGGGGCACCTCTCAGACAAAGCCCGAACTTCTGGCTCCACTTGTGAAACAAAGCTCAAACTCCTTTTCCCAGCTCTCACTCCCTCTCACTCATTTACTGGGTGCCTCTTTTGGCTTTGTAACACACAAGTTGACTCGGAATTGGCCGTCTGTCTTTCACACAAAAGCGAGGGAGGGTCATTGGCTGAGATCCAGCAGCATAGATTTTGATGGAAACACAGAGCCCTTGGCCTTCTAAGCTCAAAGGCAAGAGGAGGCACCAGACAGCTTTTTACAACTCATTTTGTCTTCACAGTCAGTTCTCGCTCCTCCTTGTGCGTCCAGTTCAACTGTCTGTCTGCTAATCATGCCTTCAGACATCGAGGGATTTTTGCTAAAGTTTTAAGATATGCATTATTTGCTATGCAAATCTGTTAAGTCTGTCATTTCTGAAATGTATATTCCTACATGAATTATCACAGTATATTTTAAAGAGAGCAGTCTTCTGGTAACACTAATGTTGTTTTGAGAAAAAATTTTAAGATGCAGGAGTTTCATAGGGTAGTGTGTTCTTCTTTAACTTAACTAAACAGCAGAAAAAAGCAACATGTTAGATCTAAAAATAAAAAATAGAGGAAATATCTTCCCAAATTTTTTCACAAAAATATAACTGAACAGTCCTTGTCTTAGACCGTTCATTTCAGTAAATGTTGTTATGGCAATGTTACAGTAATGCCAGTCCCATCCGGCAACTGAGTTCTCAAAGGGAAAACAATCATTGACAGGTAATGCTTGTTCTTAAACAAAGTCCACACCAGTCAAATGTTTCACAGTTCACAGCTGCCTTCAGGGAATCTCTCCCTCCCCAGTCATATGTAATCCCACCAGAATTAACTTAGAACAAGATGGTACAACGTCATGATGATTGCCCCAGTCCCAGTAACAAAAGGCTCAATCAGGGTTAAGTAGCAGTGATGTCTGTCTTTGTTACTGGCATCACCTAAAAACAACATCCAGCAGTCTGCTGTAGCCTACAGGCACAGAGTCCTGTTACACCTTGTTTTCACATTGCTGGCTGGAGTGAATTAGGATACCTAAGGCACATCCTAAACATGATGGTGTTTTTACGAATATAAGCATAAAAAGAAAATCCAAAGGATATCATCATTACTATGTATTTTAATAGGATGTAGTGAAACGCATAATGCAGAACACTTTCTTTTCAAACAATGATCTTTCATGCAACTGCATTTCCCCTGTCATATCTTGGCCTGATAATTGCCATATTATTTCCATTCTGCTACCATGTACAATATTCAAACCCAGCACACTGTTGCTCTGAGTTTCTTTTTTTTAACAGAAGTCATGTTTCATCAACTAATTATTTGCAGTTGCTTACATTTTGTGTTTTTTCCTATACCTGTCAGTGAAACACAAACATTTCTGCTCAAATGTTTCATATTAAAATCCTGTCAGTGGCTGAAAAGACATAACTAGTCCCTTTCTTGAAAAAAAAGTGACGAAAACACAAAGAAAATAAGGTATAGACTTTGAAAAACCATGTAAACCAGAACTGATTCAAAATGTTTAGTGATTGAAACTCAGGAGGATTTTGTTGCTGTATTGACTATATTACTGTTGATATACTATTGATAAACATTGTGCTAAATGACTGGTTTGAAAATACCCTATGGGTAAGTTTTTCACATTGTTAATGTGTCCATATTGGGGTTTTATAAACAGAAATAACTATTTTTTTCTGGACTTTGAGGTTTTCATGCATAACTGGCTTAAGGAATCAATCTTTTCAGCTTATGTGGTCAAGTTTTTGGTATCAGTATTCTTCAGATTTAGTTTTTGAGCTACTCCAATGTTACAACTCGCCATTGTCTAGTGTAGAGTAGTTTCACAGTGTTTTAACATGAGTTGGTGTGCTGAGCTGCAGCGAGTGGGGAGGGGTGGGTGGAGATAGAGGTGGAGACTTTAAAATCTGCACATTCTAGAGGAAACGACGGTGTAGAGTTACATGTAAGACATTTTAAGGCATGAGGCAATTATTTTAATGGGAAAAACCTTTACATATGCACTTTTAATACACAATGACGAGTTTTCAGGGGTTAAATTAACAACCACAGAGAGACTTTAAACCATCTCGATATGTTTGATTATGGCGTGTTGGTATCAACTTGGTATAAAAACATCCACTAATTTCTCTCTTGACACCCAAAGCTAGTGTTCCTCTCAGAATAATGATCAGTTCACACTGAGCTTTGACCTTTAACCTTTATGGTCCCAGGCTTACTGGACCATGTACAGCCACAGAATCCTAACTGTAACCCTGGATTAACTGAAGGGAGCTGCTCTGCTCCATGCTCTCTGTCTCTGTGCCCCACAGTGAACGCCTACACAGCTTAATTTTAGACCACTTTTCCAATTTTTTGTGTCTGGAAAGCCATTCTAAATTCTGTTTTATTTTTCTGAATCAAATATCTGAAACTTTTGAAGAATTAGTAGGCCATTTGCTTACGATCAGAGCTTTCCTCTTTAAATCAAGACAATACTGTAGCTTACTCATCTGCTCTAATAACAGTAATTTAATAAATCGGCTGTGTTGTTCTAATGAGACTTCCCTTAAGCCAACACACCATTTATTGCAGGAAATGGTGGCTTTGTGCATTCTTTGTCTGACACATAAAAACAACAGTCATGGTTGTGTAAAACCTGCGTTGGTCTTATTGGACAGAGTCGTTAATGAACAGACAGTTCTTGGGGCAAAAGCCACAGACAGTGTATAAGGTTTCAATTACTGGCAGATTACGGGAACCTAAAAATGGTAGAGTTGCTTCTCAAACTGCATTGCAAGCACCAGTCAGCAACTATATTTCAGCTATATAATATTTAACTGTCTGAAGTTACACTACAAAAGGCTGTTCTCAATGCTATAACTTGTCTCTCTCTTTATTTACTTACAGGTACCCACCACCTTTTCCCTACTTTTCATACACCCATCCCAATCGACATGAGGCACCATGAGGGGCGTTACCATTATGAGCCACACCCCCTCCACACAATGCATGGGTAAGTGTCTGTTTCTTCTGAATTAAATTATTCATGGTGACCTCTGATATTAAAGTCATCAGATGCAACAAAACATTAATCAAATTACCAGGATGGGTATAAAGTGATCTACAAGACATCATGAATCCAATTTTTTTTGATGGATTGTACTCCTCAGTAAATTGTAGAGCTTTAATCAAGAGTTGATGCAAGCTGATATAAAATAGGAAGCATATGTAGAGTAATATTATAAGACATTGCAGAATACAATGATTTCAAACCTTAAAGCTAGTTCCAGGGAAAACATTGTGAAACTGCCTGTTTGCAGGTAATAAAACAGACTAGAATTACAGCTTTGTCGGTGTGTGCCTCTGCTAGCCAGTCAAGTTACAGTTTACATCTTTGTCTGTCCAGACTGACAAAATATATGCAGTCAAGACTTGTGTAATGTGTAAATTGTGTTCACATAAAAGCTGATTTTAATTGAACACAAAGTTGTAGCCATTACAGTCAACTATAATATTAACTTGATCAAGTGCAACCCAAAGAACTTTACATCAATAAACAATGCTTCAAATATTGATGCTTAACCCGGCTGTGCAGAAGATTTACACAGTCATCACAGTTTCAAAGTGAACTCCCAAATTAGTGTCACCACATCACTATTTGACCAAACGTGAAGTGTCAGTCTCCATTTGTGTTGATGAGTTATGGTGCTACCTTTGACCTTTTGGATACAAAATGTCATAATTGTATCCTGTTAGACATTTGTGTGAAAGTTATTCATAATAGCGCAGCAATTTTTCACTTATGGCCAACAGCACATTTTGTAGGCTCACAAGGACCTTTGACAACCAAAGTTAGTCAGTTCATCTTTTAATCAAAGTAGACATTTGTGCCAAATTTGAAGAAACTCTCTGATGGTGTTCATGAGAAATCACATTTACAGAAATGAGATAGATGGACAACCTGACAACAGAATGCTTCCAGAAAGAGCTGTTCCAAGTGCAGAGTCATATAAAGGATCAACTAAGTTTAACATTTTTAAATATGAATTCTCCAAAAAAAATGGAATCTGAAAGTTGAATAAAGGAGTCATAGGATTCTCTTGTCAAGAGGATGGACACTTCTTTGAAATAAAAATGAGACAATGTTTTTGCAGATTAGATTTTTCCAAAATAGTCAGTATCTGAAGCAGATAGATGTTTCAGTGTTACTTGTCAATTGGCACTTTTCATAGTTTTGTCTGAGAATTCACTTCTGCTACATCATATTTGTCATCATCAGAGCTGGAGAGCAAGCTGTTTTTTCTGAGCTTCCCCGAGAAATCCAAGTTTAGGTACATCAAAGGCAGATGCACAAACCAACAGGGAGAACAAGATGAAGAGAGACAAGAGACATTAGTGCCGATACAACAGACTGTCAGCATTTTCTCTCTGAACAGTCATGTTTTTAGACTTGGAGAGGTCTGTGGTGCTTGCATCACCCAAAAGTGAGGAGCTCTGCCAAAATACTTTTCTGTAGTCGAACAGCTCTGCAGAGAGACAGCCTAGTAGAAAACTGTGATGAAAGAAATACATAAATGATTTACTTAAGAAAGAGTTGCAGCAATACCTATAAAGGTCAAATCCTTTAATATTCTTTATTCTGAAGGAAAATCATAAACTTATAAGGTTTGGAAAATACTAACTAGTAGAAATCTAGGCGTGTGCCTGGTTTTGCAACTTGTCTTCTAACTTGACCTAAAAAGAAACAATAATTTGCTTTCTGACTTATTATTGTAGCATTACCATAAATGTCTGGTCTTCTTAACATTGCAAAGCCTTCCTATGCTTATCTAAAATATTAAAATCCAGGAAGGGAACCCAGGAATAAGATCAATAGAGGTTTTGTGAGAACTGTGCTGTTACATTTAAATTCAGCAAGATCAGGTGATACACAGTGTGGCCAGAGCTATTCATCACCAGCAAAGCGAGGGAGCGGAGGAGGGGAAAGTGTGGCTATGCACCCGCTTTGTTGTGATTAATGTGATGTGACTCTGACAGAGTGTTCCAGCTAATTCATCAAGGCCTTGATCTAGCTGTCTTTTCCCCAGCGCGCACCAAATTCACCTAATTACCGTGTGTCATCCTGAAGAAATAGAGCAGGGTGTCGGCGCAGGGCACTTGGTGGCAGCACTTCGTCAGTGGCTGGTTGCTGAGTGTCAGGGTTGCACTTCCTGTCTGAAGGATCGCGCTGACTCCATGGAAAGCACTCTTCATTCCTGTTTGCATGTAGCATAATGAGGCATGCAGGTCATTCTATCATAGTTGTCTAACACAGATTCTGCAGTTCTCAATTTGTTGTTACCTGGCTGGCAATACAGGCACACAGCCTAGGACTCAAAAGATCAGTTTACATTATGCGTATGTAGTTTTGAGTCCCAGGTGCCACCTTGGTTTTTTGTAATTTTGTGAGGCTCTCCATCTAAACTAACATGGAATATGGCTGGTTTTTTTTTGTTGTTATGATGGCCTTAGTGGTGTATGGTAATGTGTGAGTGTTAATCCAAAAGTTCCAAGACTGTGCCTGTAAAAATCCAAAACCGCCCCTGCTTTAAATTTGGCTACCATCCCTGCCGAGGTAATCTCTTTGTGGAGTGATTCACCACTCCTAGTACACCCGTGACTGTGACACGCTCCATGCATGCAAAAACAGTATTGAAACAGTTTGATCAATCCATCATACATTTGAGGCTGTGACTCTGTGGCTACAGTAAATACTCAGACTACCTTAACACTATTTAGGACTCTTTTATGCATTATACTGGACACTGGCCTGAAGGGGGCACAGAGAAGCTCAGGGAAGCAGCAACATGTTGCAGTTTAATGGGTGTGAGTGTAGCCAGATGTACATTTGGAAAGTCCAGTGTTGCCTTAAATTGTACAAATGAACAGAGAACAAATTGTGTGAAAAACAAAATATGTGATTTCAGAGAGAACTCCAACCCTGCCTTCCTTTCACACACTGGCCAAGTTGCAGAAATTGCCAGATGAGGCACCCAATTCCACAACTGAAAAGTTGGGATGGCAGGGAATTTTACATGCTGTTTGGTTATCATTTTGTGAAAGGGGGTTTCAGACAGCCTGGATCTGAGGCTTTTAAAGAAGCCAAATATCTTTGGGAATTGATGTGGTGAAACAAGCTTTTTCGTGTGGCATGTGGACTGACCATATTTAAAAGAGGTTTACACCTGCTTTTTTACAATCTGTTGACCCTGGAGAGTTGTGAGGGGAGAAGATGCCGCTTTAATTCCATTCAAAAGCTGTGATACACGCAGGTGGTTGGGGGTAATAGTTTTCAGGGCAGTATGAATCAGTTTTAAATGAATTGCCCAGGGTTGCAATGTCAAAACATAGAGCATGTGTCTTTTTCAGCACATTTCTAAATGCTCGATCCAGGATTTAAAAGTAGCAGCCCTCCGGCTGTGGTCTCCCTGCCTTTCACAAACTTAGAATTCCACTGAGAAGAAACATGCCATATCTGAAGTGCTTCTGGAACAGATTAAGAAGAGCTTCTCATGGGATGACAGTAGAACTTGGACTTAGATACAGCACTTATGTGTTGTTTGCTGCATATTGTGGAATCGGGCATCTTCTGTGCGAACCCACAAGCCAGGAAAGCAAGCCACTGTGCCAGCATGTTTGACCGGGTAATTAGCATCCGAAATCCAGCCTTCCGTTCCCAGAACCTCAATGACAACGCAACGGATGAGAAAAACAGAACCCCCGCTCATTCCACAGCCCGTATTTATGCTTTTTGGGAAGCAGTTGGGGGGCAAATTGCAGCACTGAAAAGTTGAAATATGCCCAAGGTTTTTGTGTGGCAGAGCTGTGGCCTACACCGCCCCTGTACACAAACAGATGTGGTCCCACTCACCAGGCAATCAGCCCGTTCAAGGCCCGCAGCCCCACAGCACGGAATGTGTTGATTAAATACAGTTTACAGATCAGCCTTTTGGGTTTATGTTGTTTTTTCCCTTCATTGTTTTGGTATGGTTAACATGGAGAGGGAATGGGTGTGGAGACTGGTGGAGAGTGGGAGGTAAGGGGGGCTCATTTTTATGTCTGCCGATTGGTTGTTGGTGGTTTTGACAGACATGTTGTTATCTTCTGTTGTTTCTTGTTGGCTCTAGCTCCTACTCATCGTAACAGCTAGTGTTTGAATTTGGAGGCTCCCCTGAGTTACTGACAGGAATGTGCTGCTGAAAGGACAAGGGAGCTATCAATCAAACAAACGGGATGTTGCAAATCAATAGCCAGAAATTTTCACGGTTTATTGCATGGTCTCAATGTAATTTTTTACACTCAAAAAAGACTAAATGGTATGTGACAGCAGCAAAGCTGAATAATGGATAATTGCACTCTGTATTATCCCATCTCATTTCAGTATTGTATCCTATTGTCTGATGCAGGCCCCTCCTCTGTACACAGTCCCTGCTTTTCAGGGAGTACGGTATCAAGTTGTGTCCAAATCCTCAGCATCCTGATGAAGGCCCCAAAAACAACTAAGGCAGGATCTTAGCATGTCCCCTGTGGAGTAGTGTGGTGATTTATCTTGATCGCCTTGGCTGCCCAGAAGTACAGAAGGGAGTGTGTCGCATCATAATTCATCCCACCCTGAGCCAGTAGGGAAAATGCCAGAGAGGCAAATACTAACTTGTTGGTCAGCTAGGAGGTGAGGCATACAGAAAGGGAGCTTGAAGTTGTAGTGTGGTTATGTGAGCTTGCCTTGAGAACAAGTTAGATGGGCAGCATCTTGTGGTAAGGAAAGTGGATGATTTCCAAAGTCATCAAAAGACTTTGTAAATGGCATTAAACTTAAAGAAAATGAAAATATTCACCCCCATATATTAAAACAATGTCTTTTTAGAGATACATTGGTTGCATGTTTATATTTTTACCTTTAAGGTTGTAGTACACTAAACTAGCTCATACAAAGTGTTATAGTAAATTTGTAAGAAAAAAACAAAACAACAAAGCTCTATGGAATACAGAGCACACTTACAGTTTCTTTTCCAAAAGTTCTCTTTTTCACTTCTAACCAATCACTGCAAGAAGTGCTTGTTATATATAATGTCACACTTTTTTGAAGCATTCTGACCCACTTATTATTTGTAGACCAATACGATATTCAGATGATGATATTTGCGCATTTGTGTGAGAGGTGAAACTAAATCCTTAAATTCAGCTTCTGTTGTCACACTTTTAGAAAGAGTTGGTGCCAGCTTCTAGATTGTTCACCGTTTGTTTTTTTTTGTTTGTTTGATATCAGGTCAACAGTGGCAAGAATGTGAAACGAAACTTTAACATTTTTCTTTTCCCTACTACTAATTGTACTGCAGTCTGCCCCACCAGCAGTCTAACGTACATGCACTGTGGTATGCACTTACTCATAGAATTACTCAGATGCTGAACAAGCTGTGCCTTGTCCGAATCACTTTTTCTCACAACAGAGTTTTAACAATGGAACAACAGAGAACATGTAATCACACAGTACAGAACAGAGAGACAAATAGCAATTACCTGGTTGAAAGTATGTCATCTACTGGCTCACTCTGGCTTCCCATCCTTCTATCCTTCCTATCCGTCGTTATGTGTCCTCAAGTATCATCCTTACCAGGACAAATGACAAGGAATCTTTATTTGTTTTGTTTCCCATGCCTTAGTCTATTTCCAACAGGGCACCCACCCTTACTGTTCAGGTATTATGGAACTTTCTTTACTTTGCAGCTACTGATTAAGAGATACGGCTCTCCCTGGGCTCTGAGCCCTTCCAAAAGCTTCGTATTCAACCTCTGCAACTGGAGCCTCTGAAAAACACACAGACTTCAAGTAACATCTTGTCAGAAAAAGGGTGGACCAACAAGGTTTCAATAATGGTACCTGCCAGACAGAGCTATTATTTGCATCCTCCTGACAGGCAACGGTAGTAAATTTCACATTATTATCATGGCTTCATATACGCTCTTGGTCGTTTGAGTGATTTACTGCAGCTAGAGTGGTGTGCATCAACACGCTGGTTTGCTATCGGCCAAGAAACAAATAACCATTGTTGATAGATTGAGGTTTATAGTAAAATGTTGCAAAATGGTTTTGGTAGGTGCAGCATGGAAAGGAAGGTATTTTCATTACGATGGAAATGAAATACATTTCTTTTCAAAACAAGTTCACACTTGAAGTTCTGATGACATTTTTTCTTCAGTGAGCATTTGAAACATGCTGAGGATGCTCATAGTGCTATCCAGGGTAGGTCCTATTACCTTAGCATTACATGTAAATAATTAAATAATAAGCTAATTTGGAGGTTGTTTTTGAAATTTTTGAATGATATTCTATATGTTGTTATTGTCAACAGATCTAGTAAAAAAAACAATCCTTCGAACAGGTGTTTTGTGTGATTGAGGATTTATTTTACTGCTTGGTGTAACAGAGCTCAATTCCTGTCAAGGAACTGATAAAAAAAAAACATTAAGTCATGCCGCTGCACTGTGTGACACTTTGAAACACTGAAACTATACATCTGTGAAACAAATGGATCTACGTTGAGAGTGTGTAAAGTATTAACAATGGTTGAGCTTACTGTTGGACTGGGGTCTTTGGTGGTATTTGCTAAAAATAAAATAAAGTGATACAAGAGTACAAGTCCTATCCTTTGAAAACACTGTATTTTTCTGACTATGCAAAATATTAGAGCATATACTGTTTCTATGAATCCTAAAGGAAATCTGGTACCCATTGTGATCCATTATTAAATCAGCATCAGTTCAGGAGGGAGGTAGTAATGAAACTTGCTAAACAGATTTCTGCATTACATTACTCAATGTTTCTTATGTTCTGTCCATTCAACAAAACATATTAGACTGTATTGCATGATTTAGCTACAGTAAATGCTAGGAATCCCAGAGTGCAATTCCTGATGAGGTTTGAGTCACCCAGTCTAATAAGAAGCAAGCCAGCGTCAGTGCCAGCTTACCCAGGTAGTCCTTCAGTGAGGCTCCCGAGCACTAATCTGAGGAGGCAGTGCCAACCTCTCTGTATGCTGCTTAGCGGCGGACCAAGCGAAGCGTGTTTTTGTGTATGGAGCGTCTGTTTCTTCTCATTTCTCCCCTCCCGCCCAGAACAGAGGGCTCTTTATGGTTGTTTGTAGGGGAAGAGTGGGCCTAACGGCAGAAAGTTGGCCCTCAGACAAGGTTGGTAGTCTGCAGGCGCTTACTGGAAATGGAGCGAGGGTCTGGGCAGGGCTGGGCTGGGTGTAGGCTGGCGTCCTCTCAGAGACAGTGAAAAAGAGACTGAGCAGGGAAACTCGGGAGGGAGGACGGGGGAGGGTGGAGGTGGGTTGGGGAGTACATCTCAGCCCTGCTAGGTCTCCAGCCCACCTTTCATAGCCACAGAAAGTAGCTGCAACCTGGAGCTGCTACACTCTGTCAAATAATTCAACATCCCTGACTGATTTTTCTTCCCACATACATGTCACTTACTTCAAAGACAAAGACAAATGTTGGAAATATACCTGGCCTTAAGAAGGTCCCATTTCCATATTTAACTAACATAACTGTATTGTCTAGATTTACCGTTCTTTACACTCTCGTCTTACACACACGTTGTGTACCCAGCCTGCAGTTAATGCTGCCAAGAATCAAAACCACACATATAAACACTCATTTGTTCACAGCAACCATCGAGCTGCTAAAGTGTCAGCTTAAACAGTGTTTGCTCTGAGTCACTCAAAAATAAAGCTTTTTATTACATTGCAGTGTAGTATAGGAATGTTACTGACAGGCAGTGAAGAAAACTAAGACAGAAAATGAAGAGATTATGTTATTAAGTTAGCTGAACTGAGACAATGAGTGTGTAATCATTGAAAGATTTTAACAAGGCCAGCAAAAAGACACTTTGGTTTCTTAATTGAAAACATAATGTAGCAGTAAATATGGAAGCAAAAGGGAAAGAATATTGCAAGTTGAAATGTTGAACTAACAGTACTTTGACCTCAAACTTGAGTTTAATTTATAAACGAGCCTACAATGCCAAACATTTTAGTCATTTCTTACTCAGATTCATTGTGTGAGGCCCTCTGTTACCCCACTGACAGCGTTATAGTGAGTCATTAGTCTGGTCATTTCTTCTGAAGGGAGGCCTCTGACTTCATAGCCGTCTCAGGGTTTATTACCCTCATCTTCCTCCTCCTCTTGTCTACCTCTACCCCTTCTTTAGAGAGAATGATTGATGACTTATGGTTAGTACACTTTATATGATTGCAGAACTGGAAACATTTATTATGTCTGTAGTCCAATAGTTCACTTTCATGAGGACAGTCGGTTGGAGTGTCAGCTAATTGTAGTCAATTACCTAATATTTTCATCAACATCAAACACCTCCTACTTATCACTTACTAAAGTTTATAAAGTGACAAAGTGTTGTCTTCTGGTTATTTTCCATACCTGTCCAACCAGGATACAGTTTCAGCCACATGTTTGCTTAAATGTGGTTCCTGTAATAGTATTAGCTGACAAACTGTTGTTATATTGCTAACTAATAAGCTGTCATTCAGCTCCCTCTCTAATAGTCATCATTTCTCCAGATTAGCTGTCTTTCTGAGGGCTGAGTTTCTGCCAGGTGTTCGTACCACACACTAAGGGAATGACAGGCTGCTTATCAGAGCTAAAGCAAACTAGGTTGACATAAATGCTAGTGCCCCATCAAAGGGTTGTGCCACTGCCAGCGGCCAGCAGACGTTTCTATCTAGGACCCAGCCCCTTGGGGCCATCAAGGCTTACAACACCCACTTGTCTGCGTTCTTGCAAGTACAGCTGCCAATTACCTGCCAGAGATGACAAATTTATTGTATAGCCTATTTTGACCGGCAGGCTGATCGTAGAACTTCAGACAAACTTCTAGACAAAGGCGGCTATAGGCAGCTACTTAAACATCAGGTTGTGTTCTCTTATCATGCACCATGTAACGTCTGATGTGAGAGACCCAGTAGTCTTGCCCACCTAAACAGACAGAAAATACACTTTGTTGTAGCCTCAACGTTGATAAACCTTGGTCTCGACTTGTCTGTAGCTTTAGGGCTTAATAGGAGAAGGAGAACAAAAGGGGATTATTATGTATTAGCTGTAGGACTGGGGAGGGGAAAGGGTGTAAGTGGATTGAGACTGCAGACACTTTTGTGTAATAACAGAAGTTAGGGCTTGTCAATGAACATACCATTGAAGATCACTCTGGATGATAACTAAGCATAGCACATGTAATCAAATTAAATCAGACTGCCTCCACTCCCTCACTCTCCTATTGTCTGTCTTCTCTTTCTCTTAATCTATGACCTTCCTCCTCCACCTTCTGCCCTTCTCTCCCTGTCCTTATCTCTGTGCACTTCAGTTTGTCTCATTGATATTTGACTAATTCTCACTCCCTTCCACAGACCTCCAGGACTTACGGGCAGTCCAGTCATCTCAGATATTTCTCTGATCCGTCTCTCACCTCATGCGGCGGCTGGGACAGGGGAGTCCCCATTCAGTCCTCCACATCCTTACGTCAACCCTCACATGGAGCACTACCTCCGCTCAGTACATGGCAGTCCTACACTCTCCATGATCTCGGCTGCCCGAGGACTGAGCCCTGCTGAAGGTAAGATTCTCCCCATGCACCGGCACTGTAGAACCACCAAAATGTTAACTATAGGTTTAATATCTGCATATGCAAATACAATAGAAACTGAGATGTGGACCTCAAACCATGATGATGATGATGTTGAACTTGTGATTAACTGTATATTGCAGTATACAACTAGTTGCACTGGAGAGTGATTTTTCTTTCATTCTGGTATAAGCTGCGTATCAAGTATCCATTTATCTAGAGGTTGATTTATGCCAAATGCGACCAAGCTGTTCAACAAGTTTTCTGACCATAGTGAAAGTCAAAAGTACTTGTAGTTGTTCCAAATAGATAAACTCAAAGCTAGTGAAAAGTCAGCCATCCTAGAGAGGTGAGAGACATATTGTATAAATATAGGAACTGTCTGTCCTGGAGAACATTCCTAGTGTTGTACTTGGTTGTATAGGGGAAAGTGGCACAGATAGTTGTGCAAAAAATTAGAAAAGAAAATGAAGAAAGAAATTCAAATCTTCTTTCTTATCTCCACACACTTGGACAATAACAATGTAAAATACAGAAGTGGTTGAAGCCCACCAATCCGATGCCAGAAAATTCTGGTGGGACTGGCAAATTGTAATTATAATAACAGTGGCCTGAAAATTCATTTTAGCTGTGTCAAACAAATACTTAATTAAGTATATAGACATGTAAGTAAGGATATTCAAAGTTTTTATCAATGGAAAGCCCTAGAAGGTAATGTGAGAAAAATCAGATACCTTTCACGTGCACATATACTGTAGATAGATTAGAATCACCACCATGTGTCTGTAAGATGGAAACACTCAGCCTTCTTATGGTGTACGTAATGGATACAAACTGAAGAACTGAACTGCCACTGATATGGAAAATCTTTTAAACTGTGGCTATTCTGCAACTGCTATGACCAGTTAACATTAAGGAGGTGTGATTAGAGTTGAGCGGGTTTAGAATTTATGTGTCCTGTTCCCTATAAACCAATGCTGTCTGCTTGGCTGTAGCTCAGTGCAAGTGTATGCACTTTAATTTGCACAGATGATTATTTAACCAACAGTGATAATTAGTCTTACACCTTATATGTTCCCCTAAATAAGGTACTGAAGCACACCTTTCATCAAGCATGTTATGGTGTTTTTGCAAGTGTGTGCATGCTGGTGATTTGCAGCTGTACCAGGCATACACTTTGCAGTGCAGGCAACTTGCCTGCCCATTTGTATATGTGTTTGAGTAGTGGGAACCATGGAAAGTAGTACAGACATATGCACTCGGTGCACCTTAACTATTGAGTTCACACGATGACAGACCTGTCCTCGCTACCCCTGTTCAAACAACAGGTCGGAGAAGAGAGAAAAGCCACAGGCCTGCACCAGCACCAATAAATCACCAGGCACATGCTGCTGGCACGTAATGCCTCTCCACCTTTTAAGAGAAGCAATGCGGAAGAGATGCTGTCACTGATAAAGTGGCAGGAAAGTATGGCACCAAATGGAGGGCACTCTGCAGCTCTGCAGAACATAAATAAAGTCAGTGGAACCATAGAGCTCAGTGAAGCTTGTGTAAACTTCTGATAGGGATGCATGGGAGCTGGGCATGTGTTGAAGGCTGTTTGTGAAACTCTAACTTCTTTAGGTATACTATATAAATTACCATAGCTTGTAGTGTAATTCCCTATATACAGTTGTTAATTTATTTCACAGTTGCAACATCTGGCGGCTTGGTGCACACACAAAAGCCAAAAGTGGAAGGAAAAGAAGGATATTGTTGTAAAGAGCAACAGTATTGCTAGACTGGAGTCTATCCCAGCCGTCACTGGGCGAGAGGTCGAGTACACAAGTTATGTCCAAGTTAGAGTCACCAGTTAACCTAACATGCATGTCTTTGAACTGTGGAAGGAGCACCCATTGAAAATCCACACAGGCTCAGGGAGCAAGGAGCTGTGCTTGGAAAATGTTTCTACTTTCTGCCAGCGTAACTTTATGTCTGATTTTACTGATTAATACTCTAGCTGCTGCCTCTCATCCCTTTGCGTTCATAAGTGAGGGCACACACACAAAAACACTCAGACAGAAAATTTTGCTTTGCGGAGGTGGAAACGTGATCTGGCAGCCGTGGAGAAACCAAAGGAGTATGCCTGGGTCACTGCTGCTGCAGCACAAACACACTGCCTGTGTACTGTTACCACAGCCATGGCCTAATAGTTTCTGATGGATCCAGATTTTTGCTTTATGTGTGTGCTTATGTGTATGCGTCTATGTGTGCAGAGGGTAGAAGTGGGCTGTGGTTTTTGCTCCCCCACTATACCCCAGTGATCCCAACCCCCACTTCCCCCATGTTTCCATCAGCATGCATATTAATCCACCATCAGCCCACACCCCTGTCAGCTCCAAACACCCATACCCAGTGGGGGAAGGAGGGTGAGGAAGCAGGAAATGGAGGAAAGGGGGACACAGGCCGAGTTAGATGTAGGAAAAAGTAAAACCAATCCATCTCTCACTCTTATAGTTCTTGACATTTTTAAATGTGGCTTTACTGGGTGCAGGTGTTAACACATTTTTACGTCAATATTACTTTTGCTCCTGCAGAGTTTAAGGCTTCCTCAGCATTATGACTGTGTGTGTTTGTGCATCTGTGTGCACCTGCACCCTGTGTATGACTTCAACCTGTCAAACATAATGCATACACAACACTGGAGTGTTGTAGGAATGTGGTATTTCTTCCATGAGTAGCCCCCCTCTGTTGCCCTGCTCAGTTTCTTGTTCTGCTTCCTTTACTCTCTTGAGAAATTTCCCCATAACCCAGCAAGCCTCAAAGACATCCGACATCTTTTATCAAAAGCTACATGCCTCAGGGCCATGTAGGCTCGCACAAATCTTCAAATGTGTAATACAAGGCACTTGTCTCCTCTGTTGAGTCCTTCTTGTAACCTTACTGTTCTTGCAAATGTTCTATGAATGTATTACTTAATCACATTAAAACAAAATCAAAATGTATTTCGATCAGCTCCTCTGACTTGTCAAAATTCCTTTAGCATCATTTGCAGGGTTATAGTGAACTTCACACTGAAAGATGAGCAGGAGCTATAACAGGTTCTCGCTGTGTTTACAATATTACATTACAGGACAAGAATACGTTGACATGTTTTTTAGTTGTTCTTTGTTGTTGTTTTTTACTTAAAGAAAAAGAAGCTACCTCATTCTCTCCTCATTTTTCTACTGCAGTGACCCATGAACACTTGAAGGATCGGGCTTTGTTCAGTCTCCCCCCTCCACCACCAGGGGCCAACCCCACAGAATACTACCACCTGATGGCCAGTGCCAGTCAGAGAAGCCCCTACGGTGATCTGCTGATGCAGAGTGGCGCAGCGGCAGCGGCAGCAGCTGCAGCTGCAGCACATCTACCGGATTACATCAGCCCCGTAGATGGTGAGGAGGAGAATGCTTACTACAATTACACTTGACAAAAATACATGTTTTCCTATGCCTAGCATTTTGTTATTTAATTGGCCAGTTAAACAGCACACTTGCAGTTACAGTTTAGTATTCATAATGTGACAATTGCCGTAAAGGCATCAATAAAACAAATGATCATAATGATTGTAAGGTTTGGGTCCATCCATCCATCCATTATCTATACACCGCTTAATCCTCACTAGGGTCGCAGGGGTGCTGGAGCCTAACGCAGCTGAGTTAGGGTGAAGGCAGGGGACACCCTGGACAGGTCGCCAGTCTACCACAGGGCTACTTATAGACAACCAAGCACACTCACATTCACACCTACGGACAATGTCGAATCACCAATTAACCTCAACATGTTTTTGGACCATGTGGGAGGAAGCCGGAGAACCCGGAGAGAACCCACGGGGAGAACATGCAAACTCCACGCAGAAAGATCCCAGTGTCCTCAACGGGACGCAAACCGGCGACCTTCTTGCTGCAAGGCAACGGTGCTAACCACTGAGCCCCCTTGCAGCCCAGGTTTGGGTCTCAATAGCAATTTATCCCACAGATTTATCAGATTAATCTAAATCGGTTCAAATTGGGTATGAAATAGTTTCAGGTTAACTTTTTCAACACTTCCCCAACAAAATGCAGCATATTTGGTTCTTACTGGGAGATTCTAACACCTGAAATGAAAATGAAACAATTAGCAAAATTGTTGTTTTGGCTACATAAGATCTACATTTTTTTTGGCCTTTGGCAAGTCATTTAAGGCATCTTATAAACCTTGTACCAGAGCCAGAACACAACCTCTTTCTTCATACTGTCACCTAGAGCCTTGTCAAAGGGAACCCTAGCCATGTTCTTTGGTTATGTTGATATTTCCTAAATAAAACAAAATAAAATTTAGTTTATTTGAACATGTGAAAGCTTACAGAACTACCAACATTAAATGTTAGTGGGATATACAGACACATCATACACAACGTTAAAACCACCAGCCTAACATCGTATAGGTCTCCTTGTGTCAACAGCCTAGACTCATTGGGACATGGACACCCCACCTCTCGAGGAATCCTGTCGTGTCTGGCACCCTGACAGACATGACAGGAGATCTTTTGGATCCTGTGGTTGCAGGGTGGGACCTCTGTGGATTTGGTATAGGATCTACAGAGAAGCCAAGTTAACACCTTGGTGTCTTAGTTGTGCTCCTTAAGCCATTCCGATGCAGATTTGTAGTGTGGCAGGACACATAGTCCTGCTGGAGGAGGCTGCTGCTGTCTGGGGTGCTCTTGCCATGATGGGATGTGCTTGCTCTCCAACATTGTTGTGATGGGTGGCACATCAGCATGTGAACATCCACATGCATATCAGGTCCAAAGGTTTTCCAGCAGAGCATTATATTGTAACGCTTTACATATTAGTGGTTTTAATGTTGTGGATTATTTGTGTATATACATGTTAAAAAAAGAAAAGAAAGGAAACTGCAATCCTAGTAAAACAAAAGCACATACATGTCTTTCATCCCTGTTGTAAGAGAAACAGGCAAACTTTACAATCACCTTTTGTTCTCAGCACCACGCATGTTGATTCCATCCTCTTATTCTTTCTCTTGAGGGTTTTTCATGGAAGGTTCCCCACATCAAAGCTAGTGATTTTTAGTCTTCCACACATGGGGCCTGTGGCTAGTTGAGAGTGCATAAACACTGAAAGCCCCAAGGCCAGGAGCTCATAAAATCACGTTACCTCAGTGTCTTATTCTGATGGTGTTTCAGGTGTGTTTGTACTATTATTATATTTATTATGGGTAACATTCGACAAAAAGTCTAGGGTAACTGTAAGTGGCGGCATGGATGCAGGAGCACTACCTTGATACTTTTGTCTCTGCTCTGTATCTGTAACAGGCTGTTAAGGCAGAGATTAACCTTGCGGACTGGAGGTGCTGTCCACTTAATAGTAGGGATGAGGCAGGTTAACGCTGGCACACATATATACACAGTGCCAGACAGCAACTGCCAGGCAGTTGCTCACAAACTCATACATGTGTTTGCACACAAACTCACAGAGACCAGCCTGTTCTTTCAGAACCTCGACCCTCTATCAAATTGACAGTCAGGCAACAGAACAGACATTTGATTTCAGCAGTGAAAAGCATCCAAGAAACTTTCAACCCCTATGAATGGGAAATAGAAAGTGCACAGAGTGAAAAACTGTCCGTGAAAGTTAGCCTTTTCGATGCCTGATTATCAAATACCCCACTTGGCACTGAGGCCTACTTCACTCCAGGAGCCTTCGCTCTTTCTTTCATCCCGTTCAACCACCCAGCCAGTAAAAAAATTGCCCCACTGCTTTCACTGCCGCAATGTCACGCTCTCCAAAGACACTTATGTAGCCTTCCTCACGCAAAGGTAGGAAGACACAACAGATCAAATAAAGTGAATGAGATACTGGATAGCTTGACCATTAATCTTTTAAATTACCTCAATCACTTAGTTAAACACAGCAGTGCTGAAAGGGAAGGGTAAGGAAGGGTTAGGGGCTTTGCAGAAACTGTTGACCACCTCTTTTTCTTCCCTCCTTCGCCTTTTTCTCCTCTACCTCCAACCACCTCAGTGACCGCCGCTGTGCTGCCTTGCCCACACTTGTTTGGGGTGGTTGTTTGCTCATGAAGCCACAACCCCCACCTCCCTCACCCCTGCTGCCTGCCTCAATGCAGAGTCCACACTTGCTGCCACCATTCCAGCAGCTTTTATTTAGTGTTCTACCATCCAAGGAGTGATGTGGTCAGGCTTGGGCTGCTCTGCCAGTCTGGAGGCTCTTCCATCGCAGCATCCAGACACAGGGACCATATTGACCAAGGCGGCCAACTAATGGTCGTTGCGGGCAGCCTCAGCCTGAATCAAAGGCTTTGTTTATTGCCAGAGGGAGGAGGAGGAGTCCCTCATCCCTTGCCGTTAGTCTTGGAAAGCAGCACAGATAAAACCCATATTAAAAATCAATTTATGCACTAATATTCAGCAGACCCACCGCAAGAACTGAGAGCCTTCAGTGAACCCATAGTATGGCTTCTCAAGCATCTCCCCCTCCTACCCCTGTTTCCTTCTGGATAAGTGAATTGCACGGCTCAGGGTTGAACCATGAAACACTGAACGCTGCTGTTAGAAGTGTGCTGGTAGAAATGTTGTGGAAACACGTCAGTAAAAGATTTTTGACAGGGCTGCAGGTCTTTCTGGTCCACTTGAGAATTTTAAGATTTACTATTGGTCATACCTCAAGCCAAACACTTACACACAGGAATTTCTCCACTTTTAAAGATGCTGCTGTAATGCTGTAAGTTAGTATTGGTGCCTGTGGTGTCCTGTTACACATCAGTCACTGTCCTTATCTGGCATGAGTAACACTGAGGCTGAGAGGAGCAGACTGGGCTAAAATAACAAAAATACATTAAAACCTGTTCTTGAAAAACACCAATTCCAACAAGTCTTTAAATCATGTACTGTTTTCTTGTTTTCTTTAGTTAGTAAAACATGTCAGTGATTTATGGTCAGTTTTGTGCTTTGTAAAAGAAAAAGTTGCTTCTTTGCTCACATATTTCAGCCCTGTTTTAAGCAAGGTTGTGAGGTTTGCTTTAAAAATGTACTCTGATACAATCACCAATTACCTGTTCAAAAATGTGATCAGCAACCTAATTCCATAAAAAATAAGAAGTACTTAACTCAAGTTTGTTGACTGTGTAGCAACACAGCAACATTTATTAACTTTATCAACTTTATTACTTTCCTATTTCCATAGCAATAAAAAAATCACATATTATGATACTGTACTCGTGATACCTTAAAATTTGTTTTTGTTGTTGTTGCTTGTCACCATAAGTTGGTGGTAACTTTATAATTACAGATGTCGAGTTCTCTATGTGAAACATCTATGTGTACAATAATGTCACGACTGCAAATATTCTGCTGTGAGAATGTGAAACGGAAAAATCGTCACAATAAAACAACTGACATGTAGAAAAAAAAATATTTCAGACTTTTTAAAATGGAACAACCTTTTACAAAAAAAAATGAAAAGACATCTCAACAGCTGTGAGGGAGCTCAGGACTCAACTTGAAGATCGCTGCAATGAAATGACTCACCTGCAGCTTCTGAACTGTGACTGTGCGTAACAGAAAAGTGCACAGTGTCATTTAACACTTGATCCATTAGATTAAGTAGATAAATGAACACTGCTTTTGTGACGTGCGTAAATGCGCACAACTCTGTCTCAGCTCACACTGATTGTGCTGCTCTATGCTAGTATATGTGAAGGGCTATACACGATGAAGGAGTTTGAGAGTAAAGCTCATTCCAACTTTAGTGAACAGACATTAAAGTATGATTAGCATTAGCACTGGTACACCACCACTACTGTAAGTGTACATAAAGTCACATTATGGTATTTCACATTGGGAGGCATTCAGAAGACTGTTTGTATATGAATGAACGGGTATGTAAGGGCTGGGTGGGCAGAGAAATATCAGAGCGGTTTGCGGGAAAACATTGAAGCTCCCACGACAAAAGCAGCGGCCAAAGTAAATGTCTGCCATCCTGAGGAAAAAGAGATTTTAGTGTTGACGCACCGGTGGGAGTGAGGGAGATAGATTTGTGTACTGAGGTGGTGGTGAGGAGAGAGGGGAATTTAGGGGGCTGGTCCCCTCAGACTGCACACACAAACACTTAACTATATGTTGGTTCATGAGCACATGGGTGGAAGTGTGTGCATAAACACGCTGGCAAACACAACGGTGGCTTTGGGGTGGACACTAGGGGCTCATAGAGGATTCGGCTCAAGCCCCCTCACTAATAAAATTCACAGTGTTAGTATTAGTGAGATTTAGCAGGTAAAATAAACATTCTCCCTCTCTGGCCGGCCCAGGGGCTGGCTGTAGATGTGGAGGCCTGGGGTCCTGCTGGCAATCATTCACTGCATAATATATATTCTAAATTGTAGCCTTAGCAGTGATAGTTTAAGAGATTTAAAATCAGTCAATTGTTCAGCCCTAATATGCATACAAACCTAATCTTGCACTTGTCGAACAGAAGACCCAGAAATGCACCCACCCAAAGTCCCCCACACCTCAAAGAGCTATATTGTTTTAAAGTAAACAATTTACATTTTACACTTCAAATTTAACAAATAATGTCAACAGAGCTTGAAACTGTGGTAAGAGAGGTGTGAGTGGCATCGATCAACCGCTCATGTCAACTCTCAGACAGTTTTGTTATTTGGGCAAAGTTTAGAAACATAATTTCCTGTTTAAAGACAGTACTTATGCCGCCTGCAGATAGGCACTACCTAAACTCTCTGAACCTCACGCAGTTACTGAGCGTTTTTTCCTTTCCCGCAGCCTGTAGCTCAGCTCAGCCAAAAAATATCCATGAATTTTTGTCGCATGAGTGTCTGTCCCTGCTGAATCAGTCATAGATGGCCAGTTGCACTGAGAAGCTCAGAATTCCTTTTTTTTTTTTTTTTTTCAGAATCTGATTTAATACAGTTCACATTTTTCAGTGAGCCACGTAGAATAAATACAATGATTTTGATGAAAAATTGTGATTTTAAACTTAAATTTGGTAGTTTTTCCTTACAGAATCACGTGTTGCACATGATTAATTCAAGCACTGTATGAAAGTTGAAAACACAATGATTCTTGCTGGGTTTTTTTTACGGTTTCTTCCTCTGATAAGTAATGTGTTTTTAGTGATTTCAAAACCCCTCCAGTGAGTTTGGGGTTTGCAGTGTTAAATGTTAAAGTCAGGGTCAAACAACAAATTATTTACTCTAAAGGGAAAATATTCATTTTATGCACTTAAACACTGTTAAATGTAGTAAAATCCAGTCAAATGTGCATCGTCTTGTCTTGGATCTGCTGTCTGTGGTGTGTCAGAGCAGATACTATTTTTTTTCTGTAAGCAGAGACTGCTTGTTCACACATTCAAGGATGTTGGAAGGTTTGTATTTCTCACTACATTTTTGAGGATTTATTGACACTGAGCTGAAATCTTGGCCTCGTTTTTGTATCCAACTCAGCTGCATTCTGACAGTTCATCACTCTGTTGCTGTGTTATTTTGTTAGCTCCACTGTCTCCCTGAACTTAGGAAGCGGCCGCTGGATTCTCAAAGATGTAGGAATTGGAATTGCTTTCACTCATCAAACAACCATGAATAGAGATTATAGTTTTTCAGATGTTGTTTTTCTTAACCCCAAAAAGTGCTTTTTGAAAGGATAAATAAAAAAAATAATTTTCACAATGCTCATTGCCCCAATTTTGTAATCACTGTTTTTTTGGAGTAAACACTAGATCCAATCGTTGCAGAGCCTTATAGTGACCTTGCATGAGCTCAGGCCGTGACGGCATTGTAGTGCTAGCAGCTAGCTCCTTCTGGGGATTAGCACAAGCCTCCAATTAAAGTGCTTTCATTTTCCACAAAGCCATTTCAGTAAAAACAGCACAAGCAAATGCTGAAAATAATCACACACAAATACACACACGCACATTCCTCACTGGTTCTTTTTTAATATTTTTTCTTTACTGTATCAATGTGCACTGAAGCGCCTGTAATTATGGCTCTCTATATAAATCCAGATCCCACAATTACAACCATCCCATGATTCAGTCCCACAGAGCAATGGCGCACACATAGACACGCACTCACATATATACACACATGCCATATTACCACACACTGCTGCATCGCCACAGCCTGTGCAACATCTGTTTTCTCACTCCCTGCCGGAACCTGCTCACCCTTTCAATTATAACCACCACCTATAAAACACTCCTTTACCAAGTGGTGAGAGTTGTGTGTGTGCTTGTGTAAAATTTGTTCCAGGTAAAATTAGGCTGGATCAAGGACATCCACTGGAACAACACTGAGCTAAAAAAAAGTAGTGTCTTGTCTGTGCCTTATTATTTGAAGGCTGAACAGTGTAGAAACATTCAGCTTCAATGCTGGAGGCATTATAAATTCTTTTGAGCTGAGCAAGATTGCATAGATTGAAGTGGTGGTTTAAAGGTGGAGGTAGAGGGCGGTGTTGTGGGCACCATGCCCAGAGGGGTGAGGCAAGCGCCAGCCTACCAGGCCACCAGGTTGTGAGGCCTGTTTCCTGTTTTATAAAGGGGAATATTCATACACATATCTGTTAAAGCTGTTAAATGTATTACCAAGCTGGCCTCATTACAAAAAAAAGAAATAGCAAACTGTGGCAGATGGATCAATGTATATTTTTTTAGAATGAACTCTTCATTCATGATGATCACTCTTCCCCTGCATCCAAGATCTTTTTTTGTTTCTCTCTTCCCTCCTCCCTCCTTTACTGCACTCCCACCCTTCTGTGTAGCTAACAAAAGATGACACATTAATTAAGCCTAAAGAGGTGCATTCCCGAGGTTTTTGCCAACTCTTTGATACACATCTATATCATCTCTACCAGGTTTTTTTTAAAGGCCCCTAACTACTGTTGTTTGCCATCTGAAGTTCCTGTGGGCCTTTTAACTGAGTCCATATGCCTGTGCTTTACGACTCGCCACCTCCAAACATAAGCTTTGGAAGTAAGACCCCACTTTATGGCTGTAGGTCTGGCACGGTGATTATGGTGGTGCCTGCGTTCATTTGGCTTGAGGGGTTGTGAGTTCTACCAGCAAAGAGTCGGGGATTGGCAACATATTGACAGCAGTGGAGCTGACATGCAGCAAATGTGTGTGCGTGTCAGGTCACTATGCATGTGCTCAGGTGAGCTGTGATGGGCCTATTATGGGTTTCCTGCTTCTCACGCCTCTGATGATGTCCGCTGTAAGACCTAATTACACATGTGCACAAACATACCCACTCCCTGTCCCTCACACTGGGAACCAGCACCTGCTGGTCCCAGCCACTGGTTTGTCTCAGTCTCGGTCTCTGTGGGAGTGGGAGCGACGTGTCTCAGAAGTTTAAAACAATGATAAATTATATATATGGAAAAAATAGTCTTTCTTTAAGTTCATGGGAAAGCAGTCAACGGCATCATTTTCTTGTGCACTTTTTTACTAGAATAAGAAAATAGTGCAAGAACCAGATTTAGCAGGAGGCCATGAACCCTACCTTTGTGAGTCAGCCTTGTTCTTTTTTAATGGTATTCTGAAATCAATTTGTTTAAATTGCCTCCATTTAACTTGCCCAAGTACAACAGTCTTAAAAAGATTGCTATCACAGTAATTACTAAGAATGATTGGGCCGATTCATTATGCACAGGAGGATGCGAATGTTAAATAGGGGAGCTGTGTGTGTGAGAGAGATGCAGGAGATAGAGTGTAGCTTGGCATGGCAGTGACCTCCACTAGAATTCTCGCAGCTGAACATTTCTTCTAACATGGTCCAGGAAAGCTGCTGGTTTCTGTTGAGGCCAGGCAGAGTTTTTAGAAGAATTTAGAATCAGAATCAGAAAACTTGTTTAATTCTGCAGGGCAATTATTTTGTAACAATTGTTCAACCTTGTGGAAGTTGTAAAATTATTCAAGTTTTCTGGAAATACATCAGAAGAAATATAAGAAAGCACCGGAGTTCACAGTCTGAACTGTTAGGCTAACAGATTGGATAACATTAAATGCAACTGATAGATTAGCAGAGGGAGTTATGTAAACAACCAAGACGGCATGTAAAAACTCCTCGGATTTGCAGTATGGATGTAGCCCCACTGCTAACACTTCAGTGTCTGGATTGCAGATGCTGCCAGGGTTTAACATGATCAGGTCCCTGGTGTAATTAATTCTAACATTAAATTGCTGGTCAACAGGAGCTCCATTCCTAGAAGCTTCAGTAAAAAAAAAAAAAAAAAAATTTCCCCTCTCACCCAAGAGGTTTCCCTAGTTTCAAAGAAGGAATTGAGGAGAGCTGAAACACCTTCAAGAACCCAAAAAAGAGTCCAGTTTCTTTCTACTGAAGTTCTTAGGATTACTATGACCTGGACCTGGATGACTGAGAATCTACACAGACAGCAGCTCCACTGAATGAAAGAGATAACAACATGATGAAAAACAAGAGAACTAATCTCTCCAGCAGAAGAAGAAAATAAGTTTCAAAACTCTGAGCACGAACAGGAGCCGCTATAGCAGGCTTTTCATGTCTGAATTTGACATCATTTCTTCAATCTAGTTAACAGTGAGACAGGACAGCATATCCCTATACGTCCATATCATTCCCTGATATCATATTCAGATATGTTTCTAAGCCGTTGAGTCCTTTTTGAAATCACATCTACAGTGGTGGCAAAAAAATATCAAAGATCAAATTTCAAAAGGCTGACATTGCTGGTGTTGTCTGTGTCCAGTATCCCGTTTTTCCAGCCCAAGGCTGACGCCTCGACTGAGCAGGAAGAGAGCACTGTCCATCTCACCACTGTCAGATGCCAGCATTGACTTGCAGACCATGATCCGCACCTCACCCAACTCCTTAGTGGCCTACATCAACAATTCCCGCTCCAGTTCGGCTGCCAGCAGCTCCTATGGGCATCTTTCAGTTGGAGGGATCAGGTATGTACACAGTGTGCATGCAGGTTGTTTGACCAACACATACACATAGCTACAGCCATACAGACACTTTAGCACAGCAGTACTCCTAACTGTTGATCAGCAAATCAGTCAGTAGGACTGTAAGAACACAAACTGCAATGCAAGTGTCTTGCACTGCTAGGTGACATGCTACTGACAATTGGGTCAAATTATCTGAAACTGAATCACAGTAATCCTACCTCAGGTTTAGTTTGTGCTACTAGACAAAAATCTTCATCTAACATTTTCTCTTTCTTCACATGCAGCCCTACGTTCAGCTTTCCCCATCCCATCAACCCAGTGGCTTACCAGCAGCTGCTGTCCCAGCAGAGGAGTCTCAACGCTTTCGGCCACACACCTCCTCTCATTCAACCAACAGCATCATCTTTCTCTGCTCGCCAACACCCCCTCACTGCTTCACCTATGTCCACCCACAACACGTCCAACTCTGAGCCAAACCAGGTAGGAATCTGAGTGTTTGTACTCTTGTGTGTCACACCATTTCCATGGATGTGTCCAATGGCCTTGTGCAAAACTAATATGTAATAACTGCCTTCTCCTGGTGCCTACCAGTCTGACTGTAGACTGCAGCCCACTGCACCAATGTAGTTTTCTCACACAGGCTCATGAACTGTTTAAACCAAACTAACTTAGGATGTGGACCTATAGGGTCATAAGTGAATCATACACACTAGTCATCTGTTCTGTGTGCGCTGGAGAAACATGCAGCATTTGTACACAGCCCTGACCTAAGACACAAAACGCTACTCGAGCATGTCCTCTACATATTCATGCTTTGCACTCTAAATATACTATCCACAAACAGTCTTCCCCCAGAAGAAGATTCCACTAATACAGTTTTATGAGCTAGTTAGACCATAACTGCACCTAATATGACAAAAGACTGACCCATGAATTCAAATGATAGTGAACAGTATTTGCCTGATCTATGACATCCTATTATTTGGCCAGATGTGAATTCAGGTGTGAAAGGTTGCGTCACCACCATTTGGTTACTGGTCTTTCCAGCTGCATCGCTCCTAACCGTGGCAGTTTGTTCACTCTCGCCCAGCTCCTACCTGGTAACCTTTGTTGTCCAGACTAGTTCTGCAGTGATCAGGAGAGGCAGAGAGACACCTATTTTTTCTAGGGCCGTGAACACGGTACACAACATTTCAGTTTTACACAGAAAGCTGTGCCTGTTTACAGACTTTTTGCCTGACTACAGTAAATAGTCACCGTTGCAGGCATGCACTCAACAGTGGCTTCAGCTACGTGCTGGTAGCATTATTTCTAACACACTTGCAACAGAGAGAGAGTCACTCACTTGCAGCAACAAGGACCAACTAGACCCACATCACACCCATGTTTCACAAGGCCACTTGTCTAAAGAGGAAGGCTTGGCTGGTAACACTTTAGAGTAAAGTAGTCAATTAAGATATTAATACTGCACAATCATTTTCATTTCTGATTTTAAAAAACAAAACAAACAAAAATAAAAAAACCTAAAAACACTCACACACCAATTTTTTGTTCTTACCAGCCCACATTTAGTTCATTGTACATTTGTCCATACCTGTGAATTTTTATAGATCTCTGAAGTTTGCCATAGAAAGCAATGGAAAAAAGATCTAAAATGGACTGACTAAGGGAAAAGACAAAAACTCAATGGTCCATGAAAGAGTTGAAAATATTTACTGTATTTTGCTGCTCTGTGGGCGCAGTTGTAACTTCCTAGTTAGCATTACAACTGTCATTAAGCAGCAGGTAAAGGAGGGCCAGGACTGATTCACATTACATTACTGTTAAATCTATTGTTTTTTTTAGGTTAAGTTGAATGCAGTTAAAATTGTTTATAGCTTTTTCCAACATTAAATAATAAAAACAACATATTGAGCTGACAAATACATTTGAGGAGCTCGGACTAGCAGGTTAGGTTTGTGTCCTAAAGTGTGTGTTGTTATGAATGAAATAGTTTTTGTAAATAAAGTCCCTGGTCAGAAATATGCAGGAGCCTGCTGTAGACACTAATGAAGAGAATGAATCAGTGACTCTGTCAAAGACTTCATGAGCATATATTTACACCTTATTGCATTTGCTGCTGCACACAAACAGCGAGACACCCCCCATCCACACACATACACAAACACACATTCAGCTTTATTTCAACAGTGATCAGAACCATATTTCCTTTTTGGTTTCCAGCCAACTGAATGAATCATCAAGGCCCCCAGAAATGTTGAAGTATAGCGTCTGGGTGGGATTAGAAGATTCTTCTCCAATGTTGGACCCCCTCCAATGAACCTCAATACACACACACACACACACACAAACACACACACACTCATTTATTTCCTTTCTTTCCATCTCCATTAGCACTTTAACAGGCCTTCTGAGCCTTTGTCTTTCTGTTGTGCTCAGAGAGAGTCGGCAGATCAAAGCCACACACACACACACACACACACACACACACACACACACACACACGCTCACACACATGTACACCCTCCCCTGCCTCCTCCCCAATCCATAGTGAGGGTAATAACTCCTCTTCTTTCATATTTCCTTGCGGCTTTGGCGATCATAAAGCAGTCTAAACTGTTTAGTCTCGGCAGCGGGTCCTAGTCTGACTTATGGACCGCGGTGCCTGGCGCAACCAAGACTCTTCACATCTCATTGCAGTGAAGTTGAAAAAAAAAACGCATGGTAGCTTTGTGACTTAGAGATCTGACTCCCCGTTGCTGCTCTCTGTGGTGTGGAAAACAGCAGAGGCGACTGAGTGGAATCTGGTGGTTTCATTTATTGACTGATTAGTTAAATTAATAGGTGAGTGAGTGGGAGGGCTAAGGGATGCATGGATGAATGAATGGTGAGGTTGTGGGAATTTATGAAGTGATTGGATGATAAATTATGAATGAGTGGGTTGCTGGGTGGGGAAGTGGGTGCGTGGTTGAGAACCACATGATTCTGCCCCCTTTTTGCATTCAGGAAATCATATCCACCACAGTAAAAACATGTGTCCCTATAACTCTCCCTCATGTCTTATTTTGGTGTCTTTTAGAATGCCAGTGGAGACCCAGCAGTGAGCAGCACAGTCAACCCACTGACTACCAAAAGGTCAAAGGTTAAGACTGAAGCAGAGGGTCCACTACCTATTTCACCATCCTCTCAGGTGAGCAAAAATAGTTGCCATAAGTAGACACTCAAAAATTCGGTTCAGCTTATCAGTAGTGGGTTAAGAATTTCGTTTTTTGATCTGCAACAACCTTCAAAAAACCCTAAACATTACCAGACATTTTTTCTCTCTTGTCTATCTCTGTCTGTTGCAGCTACTTACAGTGGGACAATAACCCTGTTTTTAAGTGTAGTTGCTAATTTGGTTCTAATTGATTATGGGTAACGATTAAAAATGCAGCTTTAATCAGTGTGTCACACAATAAGATCGAGCAACAACTCTCACTGTCATTACGATTAGGAAGCAGATAAGATAGGAGAGAGAAAATGTTTCAGAATGTTTCTTTACATATTGATCACAGATCTGGGTAAAAGATTCTGTCTGTGTTTGCAACGTTTATTCTAGTCTTTTATAGGCTTTAATAGATTTTTAAAAAACTGTCTGTACTGTTTGTTAGCCCCCTTCTGACAAAGTGCTGTACTGTGTTTGTCCAGGACCATGGCGGGGGGATCTTGGACCTGAGTGAAGATCTGGATAAAGATGAGTGCAAACAGGAGCCTGAGGCCATATATGAGACCAACTGCCACTGGGAGGGCTGTTCCAAAGAGTATGACACCCAGGACCAGCTTGTTCATGTGAGTGCCAAGTTTGGTGACAATAGGGTTGTTGTATAGTTTTATCACAGTCTCAGATGTATTTTAACTAACAGAAAGAGTATATAGACGCTTACCTGAAAATCACGTTGAGAAAATGACCAAATGTCACTTCTGGGTTCAGTGTCACGTCTTTCACAGTTAGTATTGATCGTGACAGTCTGGATGCCAGTCATGTCATTAGCATTATTAGATTTGTATGCTGTTGTAAAAATATTTTTCAAATGATGCCATCAGAGCTACTGCATTTTGTTGTGTAAAAAATGAACAGTTCAAATAACTCCTCGCTCCTCATTAAATCCATGCTGATTAAGTCTGGTCAGAAAGCTGTCCAGTGACTGATCCTTTCCTGTTGACTTGACATGCACGTTAATGAGCCTTCCAGCACTCACCAAATTCAAGCCAGAGCCCTGCAGCTGTGTCCCCCCACAAACCCCTCAGCCCCATGAACCTTAACCCCTACCCTCTTACACCCAACAACACCCCAACCCCTGAAGCCCAGAGGGCTGACCATAAATCTATTGTTATGCCAGCTACTCTGGCACTATAGAGCCTTATGCTCCACCTCTTTCCAGGCTAACTTCTCTTCTTCCTCTCTACTTTCTGACTAGTTGTTATTCATCTCAGCACAGTGATAGGAGGGTCACGTGTCAGGTTGAGAAACACCGAGACCAATGGGAGGCGGTGGACAGGTCGCTGTGGGCTGCTAGAAGTCAGGACCAGAGTTACCTTTAGGAACTATTGCCCCGGCTCCAGCTCTCGAACCACAAACTCTGTGAGAGCTTGCCAGCATTAGTGAGTGGACGAACAGAGGTGGTGGTGGTTTGACTGTGGGTGTATATGGACAATATGAGGCCAGCAAATTTTTAAATCCTCACCGGACATTGTGTTTTTAAGTTTTTGCTTTCTATAAACTTTATAAATATAAACACAAGTCTGGCAGTGTAATACCTGTTTTTTTCTTTTGCTGTTCCTGACAGTATCTCCTTTAGCACATGTTGGATTTCACACAAGTTCTCACAATGTCAGAAAAAAAAAATCCCACACACCTGTGGGTTTTTCTGGTATCTGTTTGACCAAAGTAATCCTGTTTCAAGAGCCCCAAAATTATGGATTCACAGTCGTGTGTAACCTGAAAATAGAGACCTGTGCTTGGGCCACACACTTGTTTCCATTTTGCCTCCTTCACCCAAAATAGATCACAGCAGAATCGCCAACCACAGAGCTTTTTCACTGGTGAAGAAGTGGTCACATAAGTGGACCATTGTGGGCTTGGATGTCCTCAGGAAATGAAGTGGTTCCTCTGGTTGTGTGGATATTTGCATGTGGTGCAAGTTTTGAAATGTGTCTGTTCAGAAACATTGTGCGCGTACAGCCAGCATGTTTCCTGCTATATAAGTGGTTTGAGTTTGTTTGATGAGACTTGTTGTGTCAGAGGATGTGGTTAAGATAGCTGTGGAGGTACTCTGGATAATAGCAATTCTCTTAAAATTTTTCAAGAGCATCCTGTAAGGAAAAAAAAAAAGATATATATTTTTTTTCATACCTCATATTCAAGCACTGGCTTGAATATGAGGTATAGCTCGTCTCAAAGTCCTAGACAAGCTGATGCAAATTTTAGGTGCACAATTAAACATGTCACAGGAAACTTTGTCTGTCCCTAACCAATTTCCTGACTCATCAGAAGTAAGGAGAATGGATGATAAAGGTGGTCACAAAGTCCTCTTCCTGATGACTTTTTGCGAGAATCCGGGCAAGCTCCTCTTCCTAGACAAATGGTAACACAAACATGAACAGCCTGAAAAAACAGTCATTTATAGGTTTTGTTTCCTATAATAACTGTCAGTTATAATGGATAGCACCATCGCTCACAATGTGTGTGGGTGATGGTGCATGCATGGACATATAAAAGAGGGAGTATCTTCTGGTGGGAAAAAAAAATACAAGAATCTGCTGACTCGTCTTTAGAAGCACACACACACTTGGTATCTAGTCAGTGTGTTTTTACATTTATTTGTATCACAGATGTACGTGTGTTTAGATACATTGTGATGATTGACTAGAAGTGATTTGTCTTTTCAGCACATCAACAATGACCACATCCACGGTGAGAAGAAGGAGTTTGTGTGCCGCTGGGAGGAGTGTTCACGGGAGCAGAAGCCCTTCAAGGCCCAGTACATGCTGGTGGTCCACATGAGGAGACACACGGGAGAGAAGCCACATAAATGCACAGTAAGAAATTCATGTTCTTGTAAAATCCTATGGTAACTGCCTGGTTAACAGACTGACGAAACACAGGATTATCTGACTCACTGCCTAACTGAAAACTGTATTTAAAGCAGTATTTCAGTAACTTAGTGTTACTCTTCCTTAAAGTTGATAAAACCTACATTTCCTACTATGCAACCAGCAGCATGTCTTCTCATATTTGTCAACGTTTCCGCAGGGCTACAGCAGGCAGTATACTACTGTACACACATACAGACTGAGTAATACTGGATATGACTGGTAAAAGGAACTTCATGTGAAAATCTTTGGAGGGTCTCTTTAGTGGAGGGCTTAATGCATTATTCAGCTAATACAAACAGAAGTTAGATGTTGCTTAGCCACATTAGCAGTTAAGCATTTGCAACTGTACACCCCGACCTTTTGCCTCTGAAAAATCTGACTCACTGAAAAGTTCATGTGATTTTCTTTGTGCGTACCACCAGTGATATTTCCATGTTGATACAGTAAATCATAGGGTTTCACTGAAGCCTTTATTTTCTGTGTGAAGATCAAATTAGGGGGCTGTTTGCTTGGCTTCAAAGCTCAATCACAGGCTCTTGTGAATGCATTAAAACAGATGACTTGTGAAGGAGAGAGTGAAGAAAGCTGATTGACAGCGTGGGCGTATAATTAAAATCTGCAGACAAGCAGGGGGCCATGGTTCCTTATTAAGACCAAGCTGTATATTCTGTGCACAAATCCCACATGCATCTTCTGATAACACTCTGACTCCCCTTTACTCTTTTCTTTAAAGGGAGAATCTTCTGACTTTTTCATCTCCTTTCTGAGCTTCTCTTATTTGATTCTCTTTTAATTTCAAAGCCAATTACACTCACAATGACTGCTCAGAAGGAATACCAAATTATAGCTTGTACAGTACAAGTGAATACAAAGGCTAAACACAGACTTCTCTTTGTCTCAACAAAGCACACCAGACAAAGAGCTCTACCACACCTCACACTTAGTTTAGATATTTCACATAATAGCCCTTTTTACCAAAGTGTAGCAGGGCTTTGCTTTTGTGTGGCACTCCACAGTAGGTGGGCAAGAGTCCAAGAGTAGATTACATTTAAAAATTGAAACACACAGGGCTTTTTTGTTGTTGTTACCCGTCTCTTTCTCTGCCCAGCTGCAGACAAAATAACACGGCACTCAAGCAGTCAGCCTCACTATCTGTTTGTCTGGGTGTCTGTCTCTCTGCAGTTTGAGGGCTGCTCCAAAGCTTACTCTCGCCTAGAGAACCTCAAGACCCACCTCAGGTCCCACACCGGGGAAAAGCCCTATGTGTGTGAGCATGAAGGCTGCAATAAGGCCTTCTCCAACGCCTCAGATCGGGCTAAGCACCAGAACCGCACACATTCAAATGAGGTATGTTCACCCCACACACACACACACACACACACACACACACGCACACACACACACACACACAGATTAATCAGCTGGTAGGATTTCATGTATTTGATCTAGCTTCATTTGAGTTACCAGAATCGTCAGTGTTGAGGTCTTCACATTTGTTCTATTTGCTGTTTAAGAGTTTTATGTTTTGCATAATGGCATGCCAAAAAAGTTGTCGCTACTATATTTCTGTGATAATTTATGCAGGCCTCACATAGGACAATCTGAAAAGTCTGCGATGAGCTTCTTTTATTGCATGCTAATATTTTCCATCCACATCTGAAGAGACTCAAAATTCCTTTCTTCTGCAATAAGAATCGTGTTAAATCCCTCTTGGCAGAAACCATATGTGTGTAAAATCCCGGGCTGTACCAAGCGCTACACAGACCCAAGCTCTCTCAGGAAGCATGTAAAGACAGTCCATGGACCCGAAGCCCACGTCACCAAGAAACAACGAAGCGACGCTCCTCCGAGACTGCAGCCACCCAAAGGCAATGGGGAGAATGAGGCAAACTCTAAACATGGTGCAAGAGGCGTGGATGGCAAGATTGAAGCAAACAGCACCTCTAGGGGAGTGGAAGACTGCCTACAGGTCAAATCTATCAAGACGGAGAACTCTATGGTGAGTCCAGACACATAAAATGACCAGTGTCACCAGTAACATAAGCGTGATGAATTCTTGGTATTGTGTGTTGTTAAGAAGCCATCAAACGAGCTAACATGAATTTTCTCAGTTTTCCACTTTACTAACATTGCTTTAAACTAATTGTTTACTGCTAGTACTGCCTGCGTCCCTTCTAACTCACTCTCTGGTTCTCGCTTGAACTTGCTTATCTCTTTCCCTTAAAACCTTCCTAATGGACAGACTTCATTGAGGTGAGCACACAAACTGTCTGTCTGTCTTTTTACAGCTCTGCATAGGAAATGTGCAAGTATATCATCATGTTTCATGCTACATCACTGCATTCTTGCATGATGAAGTTGGACCATGAGTGCATGATTATTTATTTTAACATATTTAAATGATGTTCCTTTATCTATGGTACACACACTGCCATTAAACTGGATTTTTCTGTCCACGAGATCACCAACTCATGATAGAAGTCATTGTCACATTAATATTGAAAAGCTGGGACTGTTTTACTATGTGTGTTGAACAAGTACTGCTAACATCATGCTGTGATCAAGATTTTAGTTCATTTTAAACCAGTGTGAAATCTTATCGCTGCTGGACTGTTGTTCACAGAACTTGTTTCTTTATTGTAAATAAATCAATCTCTTCTATATTTAATGTGATTATGGAATATATATATATATACACGCCTGCATTAGTTATTACAAACCACCATTACAATCAGAATTTTTTAACCCTGGTAATTTTTTAATATTAAAGAATGCCTAATGGAGTTCTCTGAACTTGGCGTGAGACTGTAGTTTTTATTTTTCCCTCATTTATATTCATTTTTAATTTTTAATTTCACTTACTTTTCATCTCATTTTTGTTTTTCTTCACATCATATAATCAAATAGCAAACTGATGTGAGTGTAAAGTTTGGCAGAATATCTGTTCGCTAGTGGAAAACTGAATGAAGAGCAACCTTAATTTATAATCGGCCTCCTGTAGTTTGATTCATCACATTTATATTGACTTACTCCTTCCAGACATATCAGTCCAGTCCTGGCGGCCACTCGTCATGTAGCAGTGAGCCGTCACCTCTCAGCAGTGCCAACAACAACGACAGTGGAGTAGAGATGGCCATGCACAGCGGGGGCAGCTACGGGGACATCAGTGCGCAGGATGAGTGCCCCATGGTTGACTCCACTGTTCCCACTGGGGCACAGCAGGCTGGGGTGGGACTTCAGTTGAGGAAAGCTGCAGGTCATGGTGGCGCAGTAACTATCAAGCTGGAAAATATCAAGAAGGAAAGGCTGAAGACAGTGAGGGACTCCTGCCCATGGGTTAACTCTGCACCACAGCAACTGCAGGGTCAACGCAACAGCATGAAACTGCCTCCCATACCTGCAGTCGGTAAGCAGAAAATGCTGAGAAAATCTTTTTTGCTTTCATGTTTAAAAGGCAAAGTGGTTTATTGTACAATAAAAGCTGAACATCCATAATCAGTAATGCTCACTCTGTAATATAAATATGCCATTAGTTGGTGTCATTATGTCATAATGTTTCTTTTATCATTCTTTTCTACCAGGTTCCCTGCTGGAAAGTTCCAACATAATGAGTAACTTGAATGGTTCATACCCTAGCCAACGCATGGGTGATCTGTCTTCATGTGAGGTAACACTGCTGAACCAGCTAAATGAGCGCCGTGACAGCACCACCAGCACCATCAGCTCAGCTTACACCTTGAGTCGGCGTTCCTCCGGTATTTCACCCTGCTATTCCAGCCGTCGCTCCAGTGAGGCATCTCAGTTTGGTGCTAACCGCCACAACAATATCAGTTCGGCTGACTCGTATGACCCAATTTCCACTGATTTGTCTCGCCGCTCCAGTGAAGCCAGCCATTGTGGGGGTGGTGGTGTCAGTGGAGGAGGTGGTGGTGGCCTTCCAAGTCTCCTCAGTCTTACACCAGCTCAGCATTATCGGCTCAAGGCAAAGTATGCTGCTGCCATTGGTGGAGCTCCACCTACTCCTCTTCCCAATATGGATCGAATGAGCCTGAGGACACGCATGGCCCTCTACAGTGACTCCCAGGAAGGCTCATCGCACCCATTCCATCAGCCACCATCTGGAACTGTGCCCAGGCGATGCAGTGATATTGGATATGGCACGCAGAGCATGATGCCCCATGAAGTGCCCACCAACCTTCCACGTCGTGCCAGTGACCCAGTGCGTCGTTCCACACTAGACCCTCTGTCCTTTCCCAGAGTCCAGCGCTATAACAGCATGAATAGTATGAGCCCCATGAACGCTGCATCAGCTACAGAACGCCACCAGGCACTGGCTATGCAGGGATATACTCGCTCTGACGGCAGCCTGCAACGCTACCCATTTGCTCCCAGACCACCTAGCATTTCTGAGAATGTTGCCATGGAGAACATGGCAGTTGATGGAATGATAGTTGGGGGAGAGCAAGGTGGAGATGAGGATATGGTACTTCCAGATGATGTGGTGCAATACCTCAGGTCACAGAATTCTGGCCCCTCAGGTCACAACTTGGGACAAGTCGACTATAATTCCAACAATCAGACTCAGGGCTACCAGACAGGCATGGCCCCACCAGTATCATTTTATGCGCAGAGAAGGATGGCCATGGTAGATGCAACCATTTCTCACTCCAATCAGGACATGCCGTCCTGCCAGATTGGTCCTGGTGACTCACAGCACTCTTTTTTAGCACCATCAGACAACATGAAAAAGAACAACATGCCAGTGCAGTGGAATGAGGTGAGCTCAGGTACAGTGGACGCCACAACCAAACTCTCCAAACAACAACAGCATCCTCTAAGGGGGAACCTAGCTGTTGTTCAGCAGCGGCACAACTTTGGGTCCTTGCAGGCACAAGGTCAGGGTCTGAGCAGCAACCAGCAGGTTGTGCCTATGAGCCAGAATATATCTATGCAGGGGTATGTGAACCACAACAGCCAGAGGCTGATGAACATGTCCCTCCAGCAGTATCAGCAAGCAAGGCAATGCAGCAATGTGAATTTTAATGAGCAAATGAGTCCTCAACAAGGGTATGGCCAAGAGGCAATCCCAAATTCTATATCTGGGAGCACTAGCATGAGACCTACCCGTAACAGCATGGCAGATTCAGAATTGCAAAGTTACAGAGCAAGAACACAGACTGATGGGTATTCTCATGTGAGCCAAGGTGATCAGCAGCAGAATTGCAGTGTTCTCTCCCAGCAGCAACAGTACAATATACAAAATGGAGGGAGAGGAATCTTACAACCCAGGCCCCCAACAGAGCCCAAATCCATTGCCAAACAACACACAGGCTCTATTGGGACAGAACAGAGCCGCATCTCCAAGTCTTCTGATTTGAGCCTCAGTCATGGTAATGACACCTCTGAGGCAAGCCCAAAGAGGCCCAGTGGGTCTGTGGCCCACAACAGCAACTCAGAAAATCAGAACTCTGCTGTGTTTTACACAGGTCAGATTCATATGTTTGAGCCAACCTCTGTTAGCTATGATGCCCCAATGTCCCCATGTGTCAGCCAGGCTCCTGCCAGCAACAATTCTGCTGCAGCCAACATGGCTTCACCAGGAGTCAACCAGGTCTCCAGCAGTACAGTGGATTCTTCCACTGGTGGATCTGGGGGCACAGAGCATGCCCAGATTGACTTTGACACCATGCTTGATGATGGGGACCACTCCAGTCTAATGTCAGGCACCCTGAGTCCTGGCCTTCTGCAGAGCCTCTCCCAGAGTTCCTCACGTCTCACCACCCCCCGCAACTCTGTCACACTTGCGTCCGTACCAGCAGGGATTGGCAACATGGCCATTGGTGACATGAACTCCATGCTCACAGCCTTGGCTGAAGAAAGCAAATTTCTCAACATGATAAGCTGAGAGCAATCAAACACCTTGTCATCCATCCATTCTTACCATGTCTGTCTGGAATATATAGACTAGACAAGAACGCACTGATTGTACAATGCAAAACTGGCTATTTCATAAACTTCATCTTCATTGTCAATAGTAATATGCTTATCTTGTAATATTTGCTTCAGATTATAATATGTTACTTTAAAAAGTTAATAGTAAATATAGCTAGGGATAAGGACCATTTTCTGTCATCATTTGTTAAAAAAGCCATACTTCTTAGCTTCAACTCTATGATAGCCCAGGGTATGTAAATGCATTAAAACAATTGCCATTCAGTATTTGCTGGTTTTACAGGCCTTTACAAAGTGGTGCACTGACAACAGTTCACATAGTGCCTTGCTAAAGACATCAAGGTTGAGCATCTGAGTACATCATAAAAACAGACTTACCAGGAAATGGACATGACATGTAGATATCAGATAATATTTTCTCATGACGAACATTATGTGTGTAGATTTTACTGTGTGGTACTTGCTTTAAGTTATGCTATAGACGTTTGATGTTGAAACTAGGGCTGTCAAAGATACATTGACATGTGAACACTTGCTATTCGTTTGAAAAAGATGATGTCCTAACCTGGAACACACCCTGAAACACACTTGCATGCTATGAAAATTATTAAGAAATTTGCATTCTTTTGGAACTAGGTTTGAAACACAGTCACATAGCCCAAAAGGAAAATGTGGGGCTTTTTTTTCATTCAAATTCTCACAGAACTACAGTGGTTTAAGCTGATCACTGAACTGTGAAATATATTTAAAGCACTCGGGGCTATGGAACACAATCCGAGCCAAGCAACAAAACATACATGTAGAAATTGATACATAACCATTTAAAAGACAAACTGTAAACATAACTGCTGCTGCAGTTTGTGTATGCACTTACCTCAGTGCTATTGTAGCAACCTGTCCTGTGCAAAGCTTGTTTCGCATTGCTCAGTTTTAACTACACCTTGAGTTTGGAATTAACAGTTCTTATGGTAAACATAGTGATGGTGTAAGTTTTTCTATTAGGTTCAATATGGAATTAATCCCATTTGGCAGGAAATTTTTAACTAATTGCAATTTACAAAATGCAGTATGTGACAGCCCTAGTTTAAACACATGGTTGTTCAACATTATCATCCACAGATATTAAGTGCTTTTTGATCATGACCTGAGCTCTTGGGGATGGCACTGTAAAATCAGATTTTCTTCTTTGCCCTCTGGATCAGAGACATTAACTCTCTATGGTTCCATCTCACAAGGGTAAATGATTGAAAAGGACAAGGATATGCCTCTGTGTTAGTCCATCAGGGCACATGAATCCATGTGTATCTGATGAGCAGCATTCTCTAAAAGAATATACAAGTACCTCTGTGTGTTCTCAGTAGAGATCCAACCCTAATTAACACATTCATACCCCCCTTGCTGAATCCCATATCTCCCCAGGGTTCCAGATGAACTGCAGAGTCCAGGAAGGGACTCAGACTTTGATAATAAAAATCCTGTTACGGACAGGATCCATGAAATAGGTCTGCAGATTCCTCTGTTTTATTATGTTTGTTGAATTTCTAAGTAGCCTTTCAAATGTTTGTGTATGCTACCATCCACTTTTACTATGCTCAGTGTGTGTGGGTTCGTGAGTGTGTGTGTGTGTGTACATAGCTTTTGTACATTTCAAATAAACTATCTCCTTTTTTTCTGTTTAAATTCCTTCGTTATGTCTTCTTTGAAATCACATGGTCTGTGGTCCCTGGAGGGCATTAAAGTAAGGCCGATATGCTACAAGCGAAATCACATTTGCCGTGTTCGCAGACTGCTGTGTTAAGGGTGAACCCCAGTATACACGGTGTTACTCCAGTGACCATACTGTATGTATAAATACATAAACCAAACTATGTGTAAGATACAGATGAGTGACACACTAAAGGAAAAAACCTGAATAAATGACTAGAGAAATACAGTAAATGCATATGCATCCACACAGGTAAAAATTCATTTTTAGAATAAGGCAATTAAAAGACACAATTGGCATTAATAGATTAATAATTTATAATTCTGAGCAAACCCAGGTGATTCTGATGTGATATTAAGATGTCAAGAGGAACCGATCTAAATGACTTTGAAAGAAGGTTCATTGGTGACGATCGGATAGTAGGAGCTTCAGTCACAAAGACTGCTTAACTGGCAACTAGTCTCTCAGTAGGAACAAGGACTAAGGTGACTTTCATATTTCGATCTAATGGGAAAAACATCAGTACATAGGGTTGGAGATCTAGAGACTTGGAAAATCAATGCCGTGGCGCATTGAAGCTGTTCTGGCAGCACATAGCCCAATACCTTTCTGAGTAGTGTTATGTTAGTGTTTCTTTTACTTTGTCACTCATCTGTTAGTATGATTTTTTTTTTCTACTTACCACATGCTCATTTCTGCCTGTCATAAAACAGCTGACTGAGAGTTGAAACTAACCTATTTACTTTTTTGTATGATCGAGTTGTTAGAGAAATAGGTCAACAATTTATTAATCTTGATAGCAATAGTTGTAGTGGGGGGTAGGTAAACTGAAGTTACATTGTCAGTCACAGTGCTTGTAACAGGATATTTGGCAGTGTGTGTGGAAGCGCTAAGGCCAACAAAAATGTACAGTGTTGTACAGTTAAAGCAAACAATAGGGTGCAGCCAATGAGTGACACTGTGTTCGATGTGGATCCATTATCAGCATTATCAGATGGTGCTAACATACAACCTGAGACTCATCAGTCCCATTTGCCTCTCCTGTAGCACCAGTCAACAAATTAGCTCCTGAGTGGGAGTGACATTTAGAGAAGCTCAGTTAATGACAGGTGTGTAAGACAGATGCGATGTCAAAAATTGAAGAATGACAATCATCGATCAGTCGATCAGACTTTATTTATATGGCACCTTTCATCCAAATAAAATGCAACACAAAGTGCTTAACAGACAATGGAAGTAAAAATACAATAAAACTGTTCAAACAGCTCCCCCCACGCAGTCAACTTCTCAATAAAGGACTCAGGGATTGAGGAACTGAGGAAACGCTATCCTAACACCAGATGAGATAAATAAGATAAAAATAAGCTAAATAAATATTTAAACTAAAATAAATGAAATAAAATACATAATAGTATTAAAATAGAGATAATTAGAAATGGAAATAGAATTTAAACAATAGAGAGAATAAATAGAGAAGCCAATAAATAAAATTAATTTTTTTAAAAGTAATAAATAAAATGTATCACATCGATCAAAAGCCTGACTAAAAAGGTAGGTCCTGAGTTTGCTTTTAAAAATACCAACACTCTCTGCTGCCCTCAGGTCTTTTGGAAGGCTGTTACAGAGATGTGGGCCATAGTAGCAAAATGCTACCTCACCGCAGGTTTTTGTTCTTGCTTTAGGTTTAATTAAAAAGCCACTACCAGAAGACCTGAGGGTTCTAGAGGGTTCATAAGATAAAAGCTAATCGGATACCCAGACCATTAAGAGCTTTATAAACCAATAAAAGGATCTTAAAATTAATTCTAAAAGAGACAGGTAACCAGTGCAGAGACTTTAAAATCAGTGTAATGTCAGCTCTCCTCCTGGTCTTAGTCAGCACACGTGCTGCCGAGTCTTGAAGAAGTTGGATGGATGTACAGTCTTCTTAGAGAGTCCAGATAGGAGAACATTACAGTAGTCAATTCGACATATAATAAAAGCTTGTATTAGTGTCTCTGCACAAGTTTCAGAGAGTACTGGTCACAGTCTGGCAATATTTGTTCAGTGATACAAAAGTAGTCTTGTAATTTTTTAATGTGGGGCTGAAAATTGATTGCAGAGTCCAAGGTTACTCCAAGATTTTTAACTTGTTTGCATGGTTTTAATGTCAGAGCTTGTAGCCCTGAACTAAACTTGTCTCTCTGAGCTTCCGTTCCTATGACCAGTACCTCCGTTTTGTCCTGTTTGATCTGTAAAGAATTCTTTGCCATCCTTGGTTTAATGTCTAAACTACAGTTAAAAAGGGCATCGATAGGCCTGAGGTCATCAGGAGACACAGCAGTGTGTCACCAGCATAAGGAGACTGTTGTCATGTCTCCTGATAACATTTCCAAGGGGTAGCATATACAGATTTCATTTCTTTGACAAAAGCTCAAAGAAATTAAAACAAGACTGTTTTAGGAACTATTTTCACTAGTCACATGGATGGACTCTTCATTTGCATTTGGAGTTGTTCAGACTGCATGAACCACCACTAAACTCAGATGTGACAAATGGTGATTGATTAAAGCTTCAGAGGACAGCGAGCAACATACCACCCGGATAGTATTGTCAACACATGGATAGTTTTTTTTTTTTTTTGAACTCGCTTTTTTTTTAAATAAAATTATGTTTCATCTAAGAATGTTGTGTCCAGAATTGTAATAAATTAGAGAATTAGAAAATAACAAATTCTTCTGCCTTACCATTTTGAAATTCAGCATAGTGTCAATTTGAACAAAAACTCTTGAGATCCTTTAGCATAAATTTACCTTCACAAGTTTTTGACACTTGTTTCTCCAGTCTTAGTGCCGAGAGATTACTATGATAACTGTAGTGTTTATGTTTCAATAACAGAGGGGCAAACTTTGTCTCTCCTCTGCACACAGCACTGTCTCTCTTGCAGCTCTGCTAATGCAAAGATAATGTACTATTTTCTGCAGTTGTGCTTTTATCCATGATTCTCCACACTGCATATTAGAGCAAAGGAAAAAGTCCCCAGTCTGAAAACTCAGGTGAAAAAGGATACTTTGTACACTCAAAATGCATACAGAGCAGTTTCTAAAGTTAGATGGCATGCTATCCAAAATTAACAGTAGCAGGCTGGCCCTGAAGAAATGGGTCTTAAGGCAACATAAAGCAGGCAAAAAGAGACAGAAAAAATGTGGCACAAGAAAGGAGAGGAAAAATCAGGGGAGAAGTAATAGCCAATGTAAAGAAATGTAGAGCAAAGGTAGGCAGCAGAAATTAGACTATACAACATGGGTTGGGGGTACAAGAAAAGATGCTAAAAGTGAGGGAAGAAATCATTTTTAATCTGACAGCATATTCAGCCGGGGACTGGTTAGAAGTGGAGATCGCTGATTGCTTTTGCCACTAGAATTTCTTATTCTCTTAGAGAGAGGATGGGAGAAAAATAGCCCCGGGGTAAGGAGTCTCACCAGAGAAAAGAGCAAGAGGTTAGTGAGGCAGAAATGGATGATTAGACAAAGTGCACAAATGAGGAGAGATGGTGTCCTCTGACTCACACAGTTCCATACTGTAAACAGGGTAATAGTACATATAGTACAGGGAACAAGTACAGGGGTCCTCTGTTTCATTCACACAAAATGTATTCTTTAAAGAAAAGACAGAGTTAGAACTTAATTGCCTCAAACAGATGCGTGGTTAGCCACTTTGAACATTCTTGGCTACTTGTGGTAATCAAGAAGATCGATAACTGATATTCAAATCTAATATGTATTCGTGGTAAAAAATTGAAATCTTGGTGTCAAAATTCATAATAACACAAATTCAAACAAAAGCTTTGAATAAATGCCTTGATTTGTTCATGTTTTATATATGTTAACTTAAAAAAAACTACTTTCAGTGTTGATAGGCTGCTACTCATGGCATGTAACAATCAGGTAGTGCTGGGATCCAGACTGCAGGATGGTGACTACAGACAGAGAAAGGCTACATCAAAGCCAAAGCAATTCATTCATTCATTCATTCATTCATTCATTCATTCATTCATTCATTCATTTTATCTGAAATCCTTTTTTTGATAACTGTAATGCTGTTAAGTCAATCTTGGATCTGTTATGTACCCCAACCAAAACCTGGTCAACCCATAAATTTGCATACACATCATGTTCTTATCTAGTTGATATTAATCTAATATTAACTTTCCCTTTAGCTCAGTTTTGATTTACACAAACTCCTACAACAGATACTGGGCTCCGAAGCTGCTCAATACTCCTTAGTTGCTAATTTTGTCTCAGTCAAAACCACAGTAGTGAGTGAGCAGATGCTGAGAAGCTCAAAACCACTGAGGGAACCTCCAGCTGGCTGACAGTCAGGGGTACTTTAGGTTAAGTGCAAAGCCGAGGCTGAGTCCTCATGTCATGTGCTGATTTATGAATACTTCAGTATACATGAGGTGTATATAATTACATAATTAGCATCATCAGAACTTCAGCCCAGACTCAATAGCAATTTAATGCTTTCTAGTATAGTCACAAATTGTATATTTAGGAAAACTACAATGTTCAGGTTTCCCTACGACGTGTTCTCTGAAACAATGTTTTATTGTTAGGTTCATAGTAAAGGTGTTGTTGTTTTGCATTATACTGGAATGTGTTTCAAATATGCTGCTGCCTCCGTAGCATTAAGAACTTGTTGTGTTCCCTTATATTTTGTCCAACTCATGAATGTATATGAAGGGGGTAACATATTAGGAGCACTTCTAAATCTAATGCAGTTCAGTGCACCACCGCTGCACACTATAGTGTCATCACTTTCTTGACAACATCAAAAAAACGTAAAAAGGCAGAAGCTTTGTAAAAGTTAAATTTGTGGCAGAGCTGTTGTATTGGATTGCATTTGATTTCACAGGCGACAAAGTTGCTGGTGACTGTATGTCATTTCAGTGAAGTTCTTCAGGTAGCGAGCCTTATGGA